TCCTGCATCCCCAATCCCCCTGCTCCTGCATCCCCAATCCCCCTCCTCCAGCATCCCCAATCCCCCCGCTCTTCCCGGCCTGCAGGGCTGCCAGGCTGAGCCAATATCAGTGCCACAGCCCGGAGAGCTGCACAGACGCCCCAAATAAGAGCAGCGCTTCGCTGCGTGTCAGGTCCGAAAGCAAAATATGCTCCAAACACTGATTCTTTTGTCATTCCTTCACGGCGCTTGCCCTTGGAACTAATGCCGCCTAATATTGCTCGACTGGCATCAAATTATTTCTTGTTCCTGGCAAAGTAGAGCAGGAGGAGAGCGGAGGGAGCGCTTGATGATTTGGAGAGGGAGACGAGCGAGCGCCTGGATGTGACTATTTCTGCTTGGGAAGATTAAAAACATCCCCTCCTTCACTCACTGATTCTCTTTATTTTAATGCATGGAAATTACTTATTTTGCATGCATGGAGGTGCCAGCGTTGCAGGATGCTGCGGGAGGCGAGTCCTGYTCTCCCTTTGCCTCTGACTGCAGGCCCGGGACGCCCGGGTTTGCACGGATGGGGATGCGGCATTGATGCATTTGCTGCACTGGTGCCAACAGCCCCCAAACACATTGAGCCCCTGGATCCCGGGGTGCCGGCGAGCCAGGATGTGTAAGGAAACACCTCCCAAGGTAAGTCTCTTATGGAAAAAACAGACTTTTTGGCTTTTGCCACAGATGCTCCGAGCAAACTCCTGCGGTAACAGTGTCAGAGCCGGAGGTATTTGCAGAAATTCCTCTCTGATAATTTCCCATGATTAATGTATGTGTGGAAATCGCATCCCGCCCGCCCAATGCCTGCACGGCGAAAGCGGCTAAGTTCACCTAATAAATGATTCACTACAAATTATTTGCTCRGCTCTCTGGAAGCCGCCGCCAGCTCTTCGGAAGGGAGACGGGCCCGTTGCGGGGAGGTTTGCGGGCCGCCTTGGCAGTCGCGGCACGTCGGCTGYTCCCGCGGGGCCGGGGCTACGCGCCCGGCAGCGACGGGCAGCCCGGCGGGCCCGGCTGCACAGGGATCCCTCGGGAAATGCGTCTTGCACCGGGGCTACCGGCCTGTGCAGAGCCAGGGCAGCTCTCACCACTCCTCCCCACTGCATCTCCCTCTGCCTCTGCTTCCCGTTGCACCTCCAGCTCCCTTGAATTCCCTGTGGCACCTCCAGCTGCCTTGAATTCCTTGTTGCATCTCCAGCTGCCTTGAATTCCTTGTTGCATCTCCAGCTCCCTTGAATTTCCTCTTGCACCTCCAGCTCCCTTTGCTTCCTCGTTGCATCTCCAGCTGCTCCAGCCTCCCTGTTGTGTCTCCAGTTTCCCTGACTTCCCCATTGCATCTCCAGCTCCCTTGAATTCCCCATTGCATCTCCAGCTCCCTTGACGTCCCTATTGTGTCTCCAGCTCCCTTGACTTCCCCATTGCGTCTCCAGCTCCCTTTGCTTCCCCATTACATCTCCAGCTCCCTTGACATCCTCATTGCATCTCCAGCTCCCTTGACTTCCCCATTGCATCTCCAGCTGTTCCAGCTTCTCCATTACATCTCCAGCTCCCTTGGTGTCCCCGTTGCATCTCCAGCTCCCTTTGCTTCCCTGTTGCACCTCCAGCTTCCCTCACTTCTCCATTACATCTCCAGCTACCCCAGGCTTGGCCAAGTGCCCTCAGAGCCATCTCGGTGCCTGCGACAGAGGCTGCTGCCAATGCCTGGCTGCAGCGTGGAGGCATCTCCCACCTCTTGGAGCCAAGAGGAGAGGCCACGTAGGTCCAAGCAGGCCCATGTACCGCGACCGATGGTCTCGCCCGGTCCCTCCAGGCTCGCGGCGCTCTACTCCACGTTATGCAACCGCCAGGCGAGTTATATAACGGCGTTATTGTGCCGAGCRTCAACCCCGTCTGCTGGGATTTCACAGGGGATGACAAATGAGCCCAACACCTCGCACCAGAAATACACAACAGCAAACGTGTTGTTTTCCACATTCCCAAAACATCTGCTGCGAGTTAGCGACTCGGCTCCCACCCGCGGCGCCCGACCCAGAAGAGAAGCCCTGGGCTGCGCACCCGGGCGCTTGCAGGTACCTGCTCCTGGCATCCCCACCGCGGGCTTTGAGGTGCCCTCGGATGGCAGAAGCTGCAGCCGGGAGGGGTCTAGTGCACGGCCCCTTCCCTCTCCTCGCTCCCGGTTTGCATTCCCCGGTTACGGGCGCTCCGAGGCATCCGTCAAGCGCCGCGCGGTGCTTCCCCTCTCAGGGGACTCCGCAGCAGCAGCTCCTTCAGTCATTTCCTCCCCCTCGTTAATGGGGATTTATTTAATTTTGTTTTGAAGATAYGCAGCGCTGCTAATTGCCGCTCCGACACGTCTCTAATGATACATCCTTTCTAATTCTTTAGTGCTTGCCTGCTTCTTAAGCGCTTAAACACATTCACAAACACTAATCTACCCTGCGCACAATCGCGGGTTCCTGCTCCGCGAAGCACAGGGAYAGGAAAACTTGAGCTCATTTGGCTCTGCTCTCCATGGATCTCCCGGCTAAACCACATCTCTTTGGGAACCAGCTCGGATGCACCTTCGCATTCCCACTCCCTGTGCAAGAAGCAAGTGCCTGCAGCAGCAAATGCCACCCGATCCCCTTGGAATTTCAAGGGAAGGACCTCGGAGGCCGACGGGGAGCCCCACGGGAGCGGCGTCCTACCTCGTAATGGGCCACGCGCTGCGACTCCGAGATGAGCTGGGCGCTGCACACCTTGCAATAGCTCTCGGTGAACAGCTCCTGGTCGCCGTCGGGGGATTTCATCTGCCGATGAAGGGGAGAAGAGGGCACAGGGTCAGTCGCAAACGCAGCTGGCGCCCGCTCCGGCGCAGCGCCCCGTTTCCCAAAAAACGGGCACTTTCCAAGGGACAGCCAAACCCACCAGAAGCAGCTCGCTAGCYGGGGGAGGTGGAAATAAAGAAAGGAATAAAGGAAAAGCCTTTGTAATTCAAGAGGGAAAGAGAGGCTGGTACCTCCTGAGAGCTGCCAAGATTAAGTCTCTATTAATTTGCAGCCAAACCAACCCCAGCGCAGCACAGACTGATGATGCCGACTGCATGCCATTAATTTCATCGATTGGGAAGAAAAACAACATGGAAATAAATAAGTTAGGAGATATTAGAAGAGCCGTGGCTGGCTTAAGAGCACAAGGAATGTTGCAAAACTGCATCAAAGTGGAGAGAAAGCGAGAGCCAACCCGCACTTAAATACAACAGCTTGGAGCAAGGCAAAGCCAAGGAGCTCGTTAGATCTGAGCCCAGCAGCGCGGGCAGAGGCAGGTAGAGCTGCCTCCGCGGGCACGCGGTGCATGCGCTGCACAAACCGGAGTGAGCTGAAAGCGGCTCCGGAGCCACCGGGTCCCCTGCTCCGGGCCCTGGGAATGGGCACCAGGTCTACCCGGCGCCGGGTTCTACATTCCCTGCTCCTCCTGGCGCCTGCTCTGCATGTTCCCTGCACCTCTATATGATCGCTGCACCTCCTGGAGCTTGGTCTATACATTCCCCACTCCTCCTAGTGCCTGGTCTATATATTCTCCGCACCTCCATACATTCCCCACCCCTCCTGCAGCCGGGTATATACATTCCCTGCACCACTCTACATTCCCTGCACCACCTKGCGCCTGGTCTATACGTTCCCTGCTCCTCCTGGAGCCTAATCTATACATTCCCCCACCACCACACATTCCCTACTCCTTCTGGCGCCCAGCCTGCAYGTTTTCTGCTCCGCTATATGTTCCCTGCCCCTCCTGGAGCCTGCCCTATACATCCCCATCCTGCCGCGCACGGCCTCTGGCAGCACCGGACTGACGGGCAAATCATCCCTGCCAGCTGGACCCAAGCGGCCCTTGCTCTGCGCATCCACCCCATCCTCCTCCTCCTCCTCTTCCTCCTCCTCCTCTTTCTCCTCTGGGCAGCACCGCTTCTTCCCAGCTTCATGGAAACCAGCTTAACGGGGCCAGTCCCGGCTTGGGCAAGAGCTGGAAACACCCTAACGAAGTTACGTTCGATCGGAGAGGACCAGGCGCCGCGGGGACGGAGGCGGCTTCTCGCTMCAAGGCCGCGCTCCGGGAGCTGCGGCATTCCCGGGGGATGCAGGAAGCGCCGGCGCCCGCAGCTAGCGCAGTCCCTCTTTCCCACCCCGCGGCCCCGCTCCCCGCTCCCACCAGCTCGCCCTGCCGGTTTTGCTCCCGGGCTGCCGGATGCTCAAATGGGATCCCAGGATACTCAAATGCATCACCCCCCTTTCCTACTTGCGCCACGTTTCGACTGGGAAAAGCAGCTCGGGAATAACGGGAAATCCGTGATTTCAAATCATTCCAGGGCAACCGGCCTGTATTCCAGCTCCTGAGGCTGAGTTGCTCTGCTGCCAGATTTTGCCTTTTCTGTCACAGCTGCTGCCCTTTCCAAGCTATTAATTCCCCCTGCTCCGTTTATTTCCAGCACTGCCGGTTTCCCAAGCCTCCGTGCCGAGGCACTAGCGATGCAGGCGGGTGACGAGGGAGCACGTGCGCTCACACCAAAGGAGGGCAACCAGCCTCCAAATTAAATGCCCTGGTTTCCACGTGCCGTGAATTATTTGTGGCTTTTGGTGCCAGCACTTGCTTGTGCATCAGCTCCATGTGCAGCGCGTCCTGTTTCCTTCACTTGCTCCTTTTGTCTTGCAATAAAAAGCAGAAGATAAAAGGTCTTTGCCAGTGATTAATGCGCTTTTCGCAAGTGTGTCGCTGCTCTTAACAACACGATGTCTGAAGGAATGCAAAATACTGCCTGCTGAAGCGCCTCCCTGCTAGCACGAGGGATGCCGAGCCTGGGCTCACGGCGCAGGGAAATTGGGGTGCYGGAGCAGTACATGGGGCTGAGTCCTGCACAAGCGTGTTGGGGTGCACCAGGAACACACCGACCCTGTTCTGTGACCGGCCTCAGCCCCGGGGTTGCTCATCACCCCCCAAATCTCCTCTCTGGAGCAGATTTGCCTCGGCRCCGCGCTCAGCCTTTGATGCGTTTTGACACGCTTTCCTGGAGCTTTGCAAATCAGCAGGCTCGCATGCGGCACGAGCAGGGCAGCGGGAGCAGCTCTGCACGCGCCCGCCCCGTGTGCCAGTGGGGAACTGGCAGCACCGGCATCACTGCATGCCCTGCACCGGCATCGCTGCATGGTCTGCACTGGCATCACTGCACGCCCTGCACTGGCATTGCTGCATGCCCTGCACTGGCATTGCTGCACGCCCTGCATCGGCATTGCTGCATGCTCTGCACTGGCATTGCTGCATGCCCTGCATCGGCATTGCTGCACGCCCCGCACCGGCATCGCTGCACGCCCTGCACCGGCATTGCTGCATGCTCTGCACCGGCATCGCTGCATGCCCTGCATCGGCATCGCTGCATGCCCCGCACCGGCATCGCTGCATGCCCCGCACCAGCATCGCTGCATGCCCTGCACMAGCATTGCTGCATGTCCTGCACCAGCATGGCTGCACGCCCTGCACCGACATCGCTGCATGCCCTGCACCGGTATTGCTACACACCCTGCACTGGCATTGCTGCATGCTCTGCACCGGCAGCCTGCTGAGCACCACTGCGCACTGCCAAGCACTGCAGTGCCATGCAGCGCTGTGTGGTGCCATGCAGCGCTGTGCAGTGCCATACGCCACCCTACAGCACCGTGCACCACCATACAGTGCTGGGCACTGCCATGCAGTGCCATGCACCACCGTTCCGCACTGTGCATTGCTATACAGCACCATGCATCACCATGCACCCCTGTGCAGTGCCATGCACCACCAYGCACCGCTATGTAGCACCATGYAGCACCATGCAGCACCGTGCACTGCCATCCAGCACTGTGCAGCACCACGCATCTCTGTGCAGCACCATGCACTGCCATGCAGGGGCATGCAGTGCCGTGCAGCACCATGGATCGCTGTGCAGCACCATGCAGCGCCGCGCAGCACCATGCAGCACCATGCACTGCCGTGCAGCACCATGCAGCGCCGCGCAGCACCATGCAGCACCATGCACTGCCGTGCAGCGCCGTGCAGCACCGCACGGCACCATGCAGCGCCATGCAGCACCGCACAGCACCGCGCAGCACCGTGCAGCGCCGCGGCGGTCTGGAGGCCCCGGGCACGTGAGGTGCCCGGTTGTCCCCTCCGGCAGAGCCGCTCGGCCGCCCCGCGATGCTCCCCGTCGCCATGGAAACCGCCCTTCCTCCCGCAGCGATGCCGGACCCGGGAACCTGGGCGCGCGGGACCCACTTGCTCACGTGAATCCCTAATAACGGGCACATCCAGCGGGAAGCGGCGCCGGCTCCGTCCTGCCCTGCGTCTAGTGCCCTGGGGGCTCTGCATAATCAGGGCTCGTCATTCCCATCGGCTTCCCTGTGGAACCGGCCAAGGCGGCTCCGGAGCAGCCTTTGGAGGAGCAGTGTGCCCAGCACTGCCTGCTGTTTACAAGTGCTTCAGCACCTGGGCCCAGGAGGTGAAAAAAGGCTGGGAATTAAAAGCTTTTCCTATGAGCTGCAACACCGGGATTTAGAGGAAAAAGCCCTTCTGCAGCATGCACACACATTCAGTGCTTCCCAAAACACTGGATCGGGATGTCCAGCAGGAGCAGGAGGCCTGGAGGAACCAGAGGATACCGGGAAAGCATCCAATCTTCCCACCGAATCCACACCTAAAAGCTGCCGACTGTTACCCACCGGGCAAGTTTTCCTATGCCGAATATTCCCTTCTGTCTTCCCCTAGTGCAGCCACCCAAACTATCCAGAAAAATGGGAACGTCATAGGAAAAATGCAAATGAAATCCTCATGCAAATAGAGCAATTTGGGATCTGTCAGGTCTGGGAATGTTTGGGACCTGGCGGCTTCCCCGGGAGGGACAGGAGGGGACACTGGGGCCACCAGGAAAGGCTGCGAGCGAGGGGCCGGTGCACCAAAACGCTAGGAAATCACAGCAAAAGCGACGCGTGTGAGCTGGGAGCAGCCCCAGGAGCTCCCGTCCCTCTCGGGGGACTTTGAGGGACATATGGGGAGACATCCGCAACCTTCCCGGGGGGCTTCCGACTTCGGAAGCAGCTTGTGATGGAAACGCCCTGAGCAGAAACCGGTGCACGCGAAAGGAAAAAGGTGCAAATCACTCGGCACAAGTTGACAAGTTGCTCCTTGCAAAGGAATAATTGTCAAAAACCAACAAAAATAAGGAAAAGATAGTATATTATTACTGTATATATCCCACTGCTGCGTTTTGGGGTGTTTTTTCCTCCCSCTTTGGTGGCTCAGCACCCGGCGCAGTGGGAGCAGACAGATATGGCACGGAGGGAGAAGATCCTACGGGAAAGTTAAAGGGATGGATGACCTGCAAACCATCCCACTGAGACGGGCATCAATTATCCAGGGTGATTCCGAAGGGATCAAGAGCCATCAGATAACATCAAGGGATGGGAGCAGGGGAAGCCCAAGCCAAAAAGAGCCCAACCTGGAGCCAGGGATGCTCCATGGGGAAGGGGATGCAGGAGATGCTGGAGCAGGAGGCTCCTGACGGAGCCAGAGCTTCTCAAGGGGCATCCCAGGGTGAGGAGATCTCCGGGAAACTTCCCCAAACTTTGCCAGCCCAGGGAGCAAGCTGCTATTCCCAGGAGCTCTCATGCACCCTGCAGCCCCACGCGCCGCGGAAACCTACGGGAAAATACTCTGGCCACAGCATTCCCGATCCGTGCCGGAGCGGGTGGCGTGCAGCCCGCGCCGGGAAGCACCTGAGAGCCGGGAC